CATAACTCTCTGATTGGTGGATTAAGTAACCAATCAGAGAGTTATGAGTCAAATTACACAGCGTGGGAAAATTCCAAAGAACCTTCCCACACTGTGTAAAATGACACAGAGCACTCTGATTGGTGGATTTCAAACCAACCAATCTGAGTGCTGTGACAGGTAAATGTAGAGACTTACCTGTCAGTCTCTTCATTTACCTGTCAGAGCACTCTGATTGGATGGCTTAAACCCACCAATCAGAGTGCTCTGAGCCTAATTGCAGGGCGGGGCAAGGCTTTATAAGCCTTCCCCCGCCCTGCAGAGCTCAGTCTGCGCGGAGCCCTCCATGGGTGAAGATGGATTATTTATTTTTTTTGCGCTCGTTTTTTTTTTTTTTAATTGCGTCGGTTATTATGGATTTTTATTTGGCCTTTTTTGGGGCTGAAAAAAGAAGATTTTAGAAGAAAGAAAACATCGAATGGTAAGTTTTATTTTTTTTTACAGGTACTTAGTTAAAGGTCCCCCCCTCGTTATTTTTAGGGTGGGGGGGTAGGTAGGGAGTTAATTTTTTTTTGGGGGGTGACTAGGAGTTTGGGGACCCCTAGTCACCTGGGGGGGGTAACATTTTTTTTAGGACTGAGCGGCGGGTGGAGGCCAGGGGGAGGACAATAGGTTCCCCCATTGGTATTTAGGGCCCCCACCTGCCGCTCAGGGGTGGGGGCCAGGGGGGTGGACATTATGTCCCCCCTTATTAGTATTTAGGGCCCCCACTCACCGCTCAGGGGTGGGGGCCAGGGCACAGGACATTAGGCTCCCCCCTTATTCCAAATTAGGGCCACCGCTCAGGGGTGGGGGCCAGGGGAGGGACATTAGGTCCCCCTCCTTATTAGTATTTAGGGCCCCCAGCCGCCGCTCAGTAGTGGGGGCCAGGGGGGAGGACATTAGGCCCCCCTTATTCCAATTAAGGGCCCCCACCAGCCGCTCAGGGGTGGGGGCCAGGGGGGAGGACATTAGGTCCCCCCTTATTTTACTGTAGGGCCCCCACCCGCCGCTCAGGGGTGGGGGCCAGGGGGGAGGACATTAGGTCCCCCCATTCCAATTTAGGGCCCCCACCCACCGCTCAGGGGTGGGGGCCAGGAGGAGGACATTAGGTCCCCCCCCTTATTTTACTGTAGGGCCCCCACCCGCCGCTCAGGGGTGGGGGCCGGGGATGGCAATAAGGGGACCTTTTTTTTTTTCAACAGTGTGCAGCCACAGGCTGCTCACTGTTTAATAGACATGCCGAGTAGGGGCATAATTTACTAATACTAAGTAATTTTTACATAGTATTAGTAAATTTGGCTGAAAGACCAATTTAGGTCTTTCAGCCTTTTGGTAGATAACTCCCTAATACCGTGGGAAATAGGGAGTTATCTACTAAGTGGCTGCAAGAGAAGTCCCGAAATGCCGAAGGTCCGAAATTCCAAAGTGTCGAAGTGCCGGAGTTGCCGAATTTCCATTAAAAGGACATTTCAAAATAATTTAAAGTCCATCATTCTACAGTGAGAAAGATTATTCACAAGAGGAAAACATTCATGACGTTTGCCAATCTTCTCAGGAGTGGACGTGCCAGCAAAATCACCCCAAGGTCAGACCGTGAAATTCTTAGAAAAATTACACAAACAAAAACAAGCGTTACATCTCAAATACTACAAGCCTCAGTCTTAAGTTAGCATGTTGAATGTTACAGGAACACTAAAGGGTCAGGAACACAAATATGTACTGCTGACTCTATAGCATAAAAAAACACTATCTACCCCCTTGGACTAACCCTAGCCCCTCTAAGTATAGTGAAATCTTACCTTTAAAAAGTCTGCTGGTGCTGGCTCTGCCCCTGATCTGCCTCCTTGGCAGATATAATCAGAAGTGATTATCTCAGTCAATCACAATGCTTTCCCATAGGAAAAAAATGGATTGGCTGAGATTACCAAGGAGGTGGGCTTGGGGCAGAGCCAAACGCCACCCTGGTCACTCAGCATCTCCTCATAGAGATGCATTTAATCATTGCTCCTCTAAGATGAAAGTTCAGTGTCTCCATGCAAAGTGTGGAGACACTGAATGTCATATGTAGCACTGCCCCAGAAAGCACATCTAGCAGCCATAAATTGCTAGTGGAGGTATCTAATGTAAACACTGCATTTTCTCTGAAAAGACAGTGTTTACAACGAAAAGCCTGCAGAGACTGACTATACTCAAATACGGTGTAGTTGTTCTGGTGACTATAGTGTCCCTTTAAAGTTCATGACAGTACAATTAGAAAGAGACTGAACAAATATGGTTGTTTGGAAGGGTTATCAAGAGAAAGCCTCTTCTCTCTAAAAAAAACATGGCAGCACGACTTAAGTTGCATCTGAACAATCCAGATGAGACAAAAGTGGAAATCAAATGAGATCCCATTCAGCAAGTGGTCTTCTTTCACTGCACCTTTGTAGTAGCAGCCCTTTAGCTTCACTCCAAACTAAAGAAGAAGCTCAAGTAAATGTTACTTTTATAGTCAGAGTAAAACAGGAGGATTTCTCCCTAGCTGTCCCATCTGCCTTGATCTGATTGGATAGTAAAATGCACTGTTGTGTACCTTCATATGTATACTGAATGTTTAGAAAAAAACAACACTCCAACATTCCAAATTAACTTTAGCTTCCTTAAATTGAATGCACTTCTAAAATGTACTGGTACATCAATTAGAATGTAAAACTACAACAAACTTCATTAACAGAAAATGTGCTGGGCTGTAGTTTACTTTCCAATAAATTATGTGCAATAATTATGGTATTCTTGTCATTCATTAACTGTATTGTACCCATAAATATTTTGTATTGCAAAATTATTTTTCAAATTATTTTTTAAATTTTTGAGTAGTGCTCATTTGAAACAATACATTATGCGTCAACATGGCATTTCAAGAGTGCAAACAGCAACATTTTGGCAATACATGACAGGAAAACGCACCATTTTTGGTTTTCAACAATTCTATGCTCTTAGCTAATTTGTAGTGCTTCATACGAATGTGGGAGACATGATGAGTCAGGTAGCTTTGGAGGGTTATGACCGTTATGCGAAGCGTTTCGCTCTTGGGTGGTAATTTTGGTTTGTATTTTCGAGAGGCAGCAGTACCTGCCACTGCCTGTAGTGTGGTGTTATGGCTCTCTGTGCAGGTGGAAAACGAGAGGTGACTGGTGTCTGCAAGCGTGGTGGTAAGCGGCAGGTCTGTCTGTGAACGTGTTACCCCTTGTCAGTGGGGTGTCGGGGGGAGGGGTGATCTCTTATCTGTGACAATATGAGCTATTGGTCTTACATGGGTTGGATCCCCAGTGGCCTACTCTAATCTACTTAGTCTTTTCCTGTTACAACATGCAGAACAGCAACATTATTAATGGCAATGACAAAGGTAAATTTAAGTGAGAGCGCAACAATCAATATGTTGAGCCATGGCTTGATCCTCTGACTATGTGTCAGATGAGTTTGTGTGCTCCGTGTGGGTATACCCGTTAGTCAAGTCCCTGCTGAAGAGAGGTTCTCGGTCCTTAGAACAAAAGGGACAACCATGTCAGGGTTCCATTACCTAGATGTGTGTCCTCTAGACGCACCCGAGATGCCACTATTCCCAGAGCTGCACAGAATGTTGGACCCGTTCCGGGTTACCAGTAAGGTACCCTGGGTCCCTCGGCGGTAGGACACTCCTTTAGACCGGAGGTGAGTCGTGATGGGGCCCAGAGCTCTGCGCCACTGTAGTGTTACCCTAGTCAGGTCCTGAAAGAAACGTAATGAGGAGTGCTCGAATTTCAGTGGGGTTTTGCCCTGTACAGCTGCCAGGATACGTGCCTTATCCGTCATGGAGGTGCAGCGGACAATCACATCCCTCGTTTCTGATGCAGAGGGTTTGGTTATGCTGGTTATGCGGAACATGCAATCCAGAATAACTTTTTGGGCCACTACTGGTGAGAGTATGGAAGTTAACAGCCTCCAAATATAATGTGGAAGCTCTTCTCCTCCTACCTCCGCTGGAATGCCTCAGATTTTAATGTTGTTGCACCTTAGTTGATCTTCCAGGGCTGTCAGTCTCTGTGACAATGTGTGGTGGTGAGTATGGAGCTGTTGCACTGGGCCTTCCAGGTTATGTACCGTGGTATGGACATCCAGTATGTCTTTCTCCATTGCCTTTATGCGGTCAGTGTTAGTTTGGATCTCTGTGTGTACGACCGCCAGGTAAGCTACCATCATTTTATGGAAATCTGCGAAAAGCAGTTTGAGGTCCCCTTCAGTGGCTGGTGCTGAGCTATTTGCCTGCTGTAGGCTTTGAGTTTGCTCTTTTGGGGATGTTTGCTTGGGTTCAGGTTCCCAGCTTTCCACCCTGGAGGTGGCGCTGCTGTGATGTGGCTGGTCTCAGTTGGTGTATTCCTCGAGGTTGTGGGCCTCTGGAGCATGGCCCGATGTCTTTTTTGTCTGGCGTTTCATAGCTGGAGTGTCGGGCAGCGGGGACAACCAGGTTTGCTCTGTTGTGCTTTGGCTATGTGCCCCTATGAGGCTGTTGAATGTCTCTAGGCCTCGTATCGTCGGAAGGTAGTAGGCCCCAGATTTGCTCCTCTGTTTCTGTTGCCTCAGGGTGTACTGAAAGGGCATCGATCGATGTGGTTAGGTGCCCTGTATTCAGTTTACTGAGTTTTAGGGCTTGATGGGGTGCTGGAAGGGAGATGTTGGGGGAGTTTCAGTAGGCTCGTGAGGAGCTCACACAGATAGCGTCTGCTCAGGTTCATGTGTTCGCTCCGCCCCACTTGTACTGCAAATTTACCTCTTGAATGTATAAATAATGAATGTATAATCAATGTGTTACAGAAAATATAAATACTAAAAGAGTTATTCCTTTAATGATAACCACTACTGTAAATTAGTGATGTCCCGAACGGTTCGCCGAACGGTTCGCCACGAACGGTTCGCCACGGACTCATCATTGAGTAAACTTTGACCCTGTACCTCACAGTCAGCAGACACATTCCAGCCAATCGGCAGCAGACCCTCCCTCCCAGACCCTCCCACCTCCTGGACAGCTCACTAAGAATGCAGCTTCACAATGAATGTAAAATGGATGCTGTCCAGGAGGTGGGAGGGTCTGGGAGGGTGTGTCTGCTGCCAATTGGCTGGAATGTGTCTGCTGACTGTGAGGTACAGCGTCAAAGTTTACTCAATGATGAGTCCATGGCGAACCGTTCGTGGCGAACCGTTCGGGACATCACTACTGTAAATTAATCATGAGATAACATTATATAACCACTTACCTTCTTTCAGTTTAATTGGACTAGACCAGTTTGTTGCTCCGACAAAGCCAGTATTACTCAGCACAACAAATTTCACCCTGCAAAACATTAATAAAACCATATATTTACCTTTAAGAAATCCAGTTCACATTCACAAGGTAAGCAAATGTATAACGTTTCTGGTTTACTTCTATTGAATCTATTGTATACGAAGTGGTGAGCAACAAACATTTCAACAAAATCAGGAAAATGCCATAAACGAACCATGGTGCACTTGTTTTTAAAAATTAGTGTTTCAATATCTAAAAGGCAAATGTAAACACATCACATTTTGTTTGAAAAAGCCAAAGTCGTTTTGTTTTTTTCATTGTACAGACTTCACATTACTTATAGATGAAAGACATTTTATTTTAATGGTAGAAAGTATAATATAATTATTTTTTTTCTTTTAAAAATTATCTACGTTTTACTTAAAATATATACTGTTAACCTCTTCACTACCACGCATGAAAAATGTTAGCGTACTAACCAACATAACTAAAGACCTGGCAAAGTGGCGTAAACCACAATATAGCTGGTTCGGTAGGCTAAACATCTTAAAAATGAACATACTCCCATGCATTTTATATCTGCTTCAAACCTTACCGATCACCATCCCCCCAAAAATTTTTGACAACTTAAAATCACTTACCTCGGCTTATCTTTGGTCGGACTCACACCCCAGAATAGCCTATCCTCTTCTCACACACTCTAGACTGGCAGGGGGTGTTGGGCTCCCCAATATAGAGACCTACCAAAAGGCTATTCACTTAACGAGAATCTATGAGTGGACTAGACGCGAGAAGACCCAACAATGGGCTCACATAGAGGAGGCTTCCATGACGGTTCCCATCTCCTCTATCCCATGGCATAAAGATGGTCGCGCCTATCTATCCCATAAACACCACCCAACTATCACAGCTACATTAAAAATTTGGCTTACGGCAGATATCCGTAACCGACTGGCACCTTACCCGTCTCCCCACTACCCATTGACATACAACCCCATGCTACCAATCGACAATCCCCGCTGGACGAGCCTATTAACAAAGGATTTCCCCTACCTACGATTGCAAGACGTTACACAAAGCGGTATGATTAGGGACATAAACTCTCTCTTCCCTAACATCACTCCCTCGAGCACCCATCATCTGTTCCATAACCAAATCGCCCACTTTATCCCCTCTCTTTCTTTACTCCCAAGGGGAGCAAGAGCACTCACATCATTTGAACAAATGTGCCAATCACACCCACTTAAGAAAAAATCTCTTTCAACAATGTATCACATCCTCCAAGAGAACCACAACCACCCCCTCCCAGCCTTCATACACAAATGGTCGACAGAACTTCCACTAGCACTCTCAGATTCCCAGTGGCGCAACATAATTATCAGAACACACACCACGTCACAAAACTTAACGACACAGGAGAGTAATTACAAGAAACTGGCCCGCTGGCACTATACTCCTACGAAACTAAGCCACATGCACGAGAACTTCACGGACGAGTGCTGGCGTTGTAACCAACATCCAGCGCTCTCTTCACACATTTGGTGGACCTGTCCGATCATAGTCAACTTCTGGACGCGTATCCACACTCTTACACAGACTATTACGGGTTCCTCATACCCATTCGCCCCGGAGTACATGATGTTCCTTTTGCCCCCCCCCTCCCCGAGCCCACAAAGCCCAACAAGGCCAAACATTTCCTTGCTTACGCATCTTCTACTAGCAGCTAATCTCCTTATCCCTCTCTATTGGAAACACCCTGGAGCACCTCCCATTAGGAAATGGATCCAAAAAGTGGAGACCATTAGACAAATGGAAGAGATTACCTGCTCTAAAGCCCACAACATGGACAAACATACACGCACATGGTCACAATGGACAACATTTCTGGCTCATAGAGGAACCACTTCTCTACAGTCCTCTTTCATGACAAGCTCAGACGACTGACTTACTCACTTTCACACGGATTACGCCTCTTGAGCAGCACAATGTCCGTGTCTGACAGTGGACAGACACCAGATAATAGACATCAGACTTTTTAGCGTCAAGTACCCACATGTCAATTATTAGTGGTTAGGTAAGGGCTTCCTACCTTCTTGTACCCATACTAGGGAGTCACTCTTCTCACCGAAGACAGTCACACAATCGACATCACACCATTGCTACCAATGTTATTGCTACTATTATATGTTTCACCGCTATATGTTATTAATCTCCTCCACCTTCACAATTGACTGGCAATATCATAGGATTTTTAATCTAAACTGTTTGTAATTACTTCGATAACTGGTAATATGTTATCAATGTAACTCATCTCTTTCCGACGCACAGTCGGAGGGTAAACATTTGCCTGTATTGTGTACCACATTTGAACCAATAAAGTTTAAAAAAAAAAAAAAAAAAATGTTAGCGTACTATTTATTTGAATCAAAGGATGCATAGCTAGCATATAAACATATAATATAGAAATTTTGTTCAAGCTTTATAAAAATATTTAGGAAATGAAAAGCTTCAGACAGTATACAGTGACCTTTATCTTGCAATATTCCATGCAGGGTCTGAAATGTTAAGATAAAAGAAAATATGAAATTTGTCTCAAGTACAGTAGATAAACAGTTTATGGATATTAGCAAGGTCCCTGCAGGCATTACTAGCAGTGCAGCTTACTAAAAATGGCAAAATAATGTATAAAGATTCTCTGCATCTTGAGCATAATGTAAATATGTTAAATCGTATATTTCTCAAATATATTGTGTGGCGGAACCAGCCTTGCCACTGGGTATTGGAGAAGACTGATTGCCAACCTCCTGCCGTGTGACTATGGCCCCTGGGATGTATTGTCTGCTCTCCTGTACTGCTGAGGTTTGCTACCAACTAGGTGGATTTGGCTATGGAGCTTGTCTAGTGCCCTCTGTTGGTAGCAACAGCAATATGCACTACCTGAATAGCAAGACTGGTTCATTTGCATATTCGGGTAGATTTGCATATTGCTAATTCTGCAGGCATGTGAGATATTTTCTGTTAATTACTATCCCCCCCACCTCTTTAAAAATATGCCATTGCGTTATAATAAGTCACTGTATGTTGCCTGCTATGATTTGACTGTTTGTAATTTTATGGAGTTTTCACAGCAATGTTCTACTTCACTTTCAATTTGGAGTGCTGTCTCTTATTGGGGAGTCTGCTACAAGGGATTACTATGCTCTGCATATTCCCTTGCTTTAATCACTCCTAAGCTCTTGTAAGAGCTTGTTCCTGCTTCGCTTTGAAAGAAGAGAGGTTCGGCCTGCGGTGGTTATAGTGTCAGCTAGAGTGCTTGGGGTCCTCAAGAGGCGCTAGGAGCATCCTTCAATGGAGGTACCCAGTCGGGGTGCCAGGTGATCCATTACATATTGCTATAGCAATCTTTATCAATCTTTGCACTGCAATGTGATCTTGGCAGTGAAATAGAATTATTTATTTATAAAATATTTTACCAGGAAAGATACATTGAGATTTCTCTCGTTTTCAAGTATGTCCTGGCTCCACAAATCATTGCATTGTTACATTAGGTACAACAAAATACAAAAACAATATTAATACACGATATATACAAAATTTAACATAGAACAGGCAGGAAATATATAATCAACCATGACACGTGCATTCTGTTTTGAGGTATGTAGAGAGGGATCTCTTAAATGACTTTAGGCTTAGGGAAGATTTTAAATTGTGCGGGAGTTCGTTCCACAATTGCGGTGCTCTGTAGGAGGATCGGGCCGCTTTCTTTTTGTATTGAGGTAGACTAAGTAAAGTGCTTGTACTGGATCGGAGCTTATAGAAAGTGGGAACAGCTGGGGAAAGCATTTTGTTCAGGTAGGGTGGGAGTTTCCCAGAAAAGCTCTTAAAAACAAGGCTGGAAAGATGAAGGGTGCGTCTGGATTCCAGCGATAGCCAGTTTAGTTCCTTTAGCATGTCACAATGATGGGTCCTGTAATTACATTGTAGCACAAATCGGCAGAACGAGTTATACAATGTGTTGAGTTTATTAATGTGGGATTGCGATGCAGACGCATATACTACATCCCCATAATCAATGATTGGCATCAGCATTTGCTGTACAATCTTTTCCTTTACTGTAGGGCTTAGGCAGGCTTTGTTTCTGTACAGGGCACCTAATTTTGGATAAAGTTTAGATGCAAGCTTTTCTATGTGCAGGCCAAAAGATAGATTGGGGTCTAATATCATACCCAAGTATTTGAAAGAGTGGACTGCGGTCAGTGTGCCATTTGAATTTGTTTTGATGGATAGGTGGGAATTGTGTAATTTGTGTAATTTAGGTACTGTTCCAAAGATCATTGTGACAGTTTTGTCAGTGTTCAGGAAGAGTTTGTTTTTTGCAATCCACTTTTCTACCTCTGTAAACTGGTCTTGGAGCAAAGCCTCAAGTTGCGGTAGATCGGATTTGCTCGCATAGATGACCGTGTCATCTGCGTACATGTGTACATTTGAGGATTGGCAGACATTAGGCAGATCATTTATAAATAATGTAAATAGTAGGGGGCCGAGAATGGAACCCTGGGAAACACCACACGTGACTGGGAGAGGGAGGGAGTCACTGTCAGAAATGGACACATATTGCGAGCGATCCGATACATAATATCGAAACCAGTTTAGAGAATGATCACCAATACCTGAGTTTTCGAGTTTGTGCAGTAGAATGTCGTGGTCTACTGTGTCAAAGGCCTTAGCGAAATCAAGGAAAATAGCTCCAGTTAGGGCTCCTTGTTCCATGCCAGCTTGGATGTCATTGCAAACTTTTAGGAGGGCAGTTGTAGTGGAGTGATTCTGGCGAAAGCCCGATTGATCAGG